TGTGTGTGTGTGTGTGTGTGTGTGTGTGTGTGTGTGTGTGTGGAAACGAGGGTGTGACGTGACTCTTATTTGTCTCCCTGTACCTCTCCTCCCCTGCCGTTTCCGACATTAACTTTGTTTGCCGTCAGGCCTACAGCCTGCTTATTTTTCTGTGAACTGGAATGAAAGGTTGTATCATTAAGCCACAAAGACAGAATCTCATCTCACCTACTCTTTTTTTTTTTTATGCGAAAAGAACATCCTGTTTTGATGAGTCATGCTGGATCATTTACTGTAGTCATACCTTATTACCTTATTTTTTTATACAGTTGAGTCGTTATTCAACACGTGCAGAGGTGGGATGACAAAAAGCATGCTAACTGCCTTCTTTATCACCCGTTTTTTCCCCAAACTAATCTCTCCCGTATTGCCAGTCCAACACTGTCAGTCATTTCTGCAAAGCCCACACAGCATCGAGATTCCATTCTCCTCATTGTTGTCACCACCCGAATGCCTCTTTTTTTGGATCCCTCCACATGGATCTCACACTCTCTGCATGGCCTCGAGGCAAACGACACATCTAAGCAGAATATCATGGGTACAGAGGTACAGCTCGTTTTCTACAGGACAAATCAGAGCTAGCCAGCCTGTGAGTGGCTGACTAATCCAGATGTGGGAAGAGTTTCTTTTTGCTTATGAACAGTTGTGACAGGTTCCACGTGGAGGCAGCGTCTATGATCATACAACGGAGAGAACAAAAAGAAAAATCAGCCTCTATTTTTGGTATCCGAATATATTCAAATCAAAATGAATTGCAGCAGAACATCTAAAGTGGCAACATGCTTGAATTCGGAAAAGCTTGAGGATGTGAAAAGCTTCTGCTTGTTCTGCTGGCCTCCTCTCAGTGTTCTGTTGTCCGCACAAAGCTGGTACTGTCTTCTTCATTTAGGGTACTGATGAAAAGTCATTTGGGAGCAGACGCAGGGAAGGTGGAAGTTAGTTGTTTTTTTTTAATGGATAAGATAATATCAGTACTAATCGGGTAGGAAAGGGACAGCACTCTGTAGTGGGCTGAGTGACACGTAGTGCAACTGGATTAAGCGGAAAAAAGAAGCTGATTTAGAGACATAAACCATTGTTACGACGAGTCGTTCCTTTTTTTATTTATCAGTTTATTTTGTTTGAAACTAAGACACCCGTACGGAACAAGGGAAGAACTCCTAACTACACAGTGCCACTTGTTCATTTTGTGTAAATATATTAGACTATGTAAATACAATGTTGTATAAAAAAATCTTTAAAATAAAAGGGAAAATCATTTGTGAGCAGAACGATTTTGTTTCCACTTTGATTTGTTCTTACAATATCACAGAAAAACTGTATATTTTAAGAGTGCTCTTTCAAAACTGTATACAATGAACAACAACATTTTACTATATATGATCCTTCCTGTGTCATGAAAAAGGAAACCCTTTGTCCTCCATGGCTCATTTCTTTCTGGTATCATGGTCTTGCAGTGCTTTGGACATGTCTATAAGCTTGATTCTGATCAATTAAAGCTTGTCTGTCAAAGCATGGAAATGTGGCTTCAGATCCCCTTGCTTTTCCACACTGTAAAAGTGAGGTTTGGCAACGTTAGTCGGCAGATTAGAAAGGGGGCATGACTGGTGAAGACCTCTGGTAGGAAGCCTTATTTATTAAATTTATGTCTAACGACAGAGAAAATCCAACAACATCCCTACATCTTAATTAAAAACAACCATTTACTGAACGTTTTGTAATGGTAACCATGTCCTGTGGATAGATACAGCTACACTATTATTATTTAGGATCATAACGGTTCAACACAGCTTGGGGAACAATTGTACTTTCAATTTACCAGCAGGGGGTACTGTTGTCAAAAACAATGGGGCACATTGTGGGACCATGGATCAAAGAATAAATATATATTTTTTACACTAGAATATTTAAAGCTATTCAGAAGTCAATGTGTCATTTATTAGACTTAAAATTTTAAACATCTGAGATTTTTTTTTAAATAGCAGCTTTGCAGCCTTTGGTTAGGTCATGTAACAGATAAAGATAGTTACTCAGATATGGGACAGAAAATATTAAATATAAATAAAGTGTTGCTGACGAGTTTGGAAGGAAATACTGAAAAGCGGCGAAGAAGAAGAAGAAGAAGAAAACGAAGAAGAAGAGTCGGTCGCTTTAAAAATGCTAATGACGTTTTTGTTAGGGATTTGTTCTGACGTCACATCCTGAGGCGAGCTTAACTCCTACTTTTTGTTGGGACCTGCGAGAGAAAATTTATCCTGCGGAGGTGGTACGGTGGAATAAAAAAAAAGATAAACAACACAAAACCAAGGCCACGGTGTCCGGAAATGTCCGCGGTCTCCCTTTGGCGGTCTGAAATGCAACCGGTCGTGCTTTCGCCGTGAACTCCTGAAAGGATTTTTTTTATTTTTCCCGTAAGTATTCCATCATTCAGACGTCCTCCGTCCAACAAGTGGTTGCGGAGCGAGTTTGTATCGACTTAGGCTATGAAAGTTATAAGGCTTCGTTTGTTTTTTTGCTAGCACGGTTGCACTTTGACCTTTTTAATAAGGTATTTTTTCCCGTAGTTGCCCGGTAACAAGTGCCCACTTTGCGCTGCTGCACTTTAGGCCCCGACGGTACCGGGGATGCTAAAGGGTTAAATAGTCCCGCTTGTCATTTCATAGGAAAATTAGCTTCAGAGATTAAAAAAAAACATTTTGAGACCATTTTTGAGAATTTGAGTGGGGCATTTAATCTCCACAAAGGTACAGCCTATTGTTTCCTTTCTAACCTGGAAGCCCGGCTAGCAAACGGGCACATATATCTTGAAGTGGAGTAGACTGTAAGCTAACGTCTGCAGATTTATTTGCCCACCAAGGTAATTCTTAGCCTCCTGTATTGCAAAAGCAGTTTTTTCTCTTAGGGACGTAAGAAAGAAATGCTTCTTTTAAAAATAGCTCAATTCGGTACAGGCTAAGTTGATATAAATGACTAAATTAAAGACAGTGGTGTGTTATCTGGATGCCCACTGAGGTAACTTGCAATGTAATATCAGATATAGATGTACTTGTTTCCTGCTGAATACTTAGTTAAGCACTATTTAACTTATTTTCTCAGCTGTTGAGTAAGCTGCCAGTACCCAGCCCACCCAGGGAGTCAATATAAAACAAGGACCTGAGACCTGAAAGTCCTCACCTGTGAGCCTTACAGGTCTGGCCTGGGAGATCTGAATCCTGGACACACCGACTCACCCCCCTGTTTTCTAAAGCAAGAAATTCTTTAGTAAGTTTTCTAAGGCAGTGAGAACAGAGGGTGAGAACCTCAGGTTCTGGTGTCCTGCTGGGGCCCAGAGTCAGAAGCTTAATTTCAGCTCCATGCTCATAAAATCTGGATCGGTCTTCCTGAAGACGAGAGACAGGCCCCAAATCCAGGCTGAAAACGCTTCTGTTCAACTGTGCATGTGGAAATTGAATGCATTTTATCAGCACCCTTCACTTTTTTTCTATCTAATTTTTATTCTTGTTTTTCTGCTTTTAAATTCTTTGTGAAGCACTTTGAATTGTCTTGTACACGAAATGTGCTATACAAATAAACTTGCCTTGAAAGGTGAGACACGGGTATATCAGTGTTCAGAGCAAATGTATTTGCACGAGTTACAAAGGTCCCGGTTTACGGAGCCCAAAGCTGCTTCGGTCAGTCAGAAACTAAAAATCACTGCTTACTTGGATCCGTCCCAAAACGAGACAATGCAGAAAATACTTAATCTATATACGTGCACAGGTTTCTGCAGAGGGAGTAACACTTCGATCCTAACGTCCTGTGTGTTTTTCATCCGTTTCTAGGTGTGGTCCTGTTGCCCTGCAGCCCTCCCATCATGCTGAGTTTCCTGCGCCGGACGTTGGGGAGACGCTCCATCCGGAAGCATGCGGACAAAGCCCGTCTGCGAGAGGCGCAGCGCGCCACCACCCACATCCCGGCTGCCGGGGACGCCGCGTCCATCATCACCTGCCGCGTGTCCCTGCTGGACGGGACAGATGTCAGTGTGGACCTGCCGGTAAGGACCGCTGCTCTCACAGACCTCCAGTAATGGCTAACTGAGGAAGACGGGCGCCAAGAACCCATCGTCCACTCATGAGCCGAAGCAGACATCATTTAAACTGCTGTGTAATGGATGCTTTCTTCCCTTTGCTTAGCTCTTGAATGGGTGTGTTGTTTCTCTTTTAAGAAGTCGGTTAATGCTACTTTTACTGGTAAAGCTAAGTAGACAGGACCTCTTTTTATTTATTTATGTCTTTTTTTCCATCGTCTGAAAAGTGAAAGCCTTGAACTGGTGGTCTGTGTGTGCCTGTGTCAGTAGAGCAGCCCCGTTAAGCCTCTGAAGAGTGTGTGTTTGTGGGATCACCTGTAAGTCCATTATCCTCTCTGGAGGACAGTCACATGGCCGTGTCACATGACCTGTTGGAGTCCTCACCAAACAGTCTTGGAGGAGATCTGCCTTTCTCCTCTCATTCAAACATCCTAACTTTCCCGTCCTCTCCCGCTCTCATCTTTCATGCCCCTTTCTGTATAAACAATTTTGTTTTTCAAGGAATAAGGTAATAGATTTTCTGTTGGAAAGGATCACATGAATGTATGTGAATAGAAACTATTAGGAGAAGTTAAATAAAAAGTATCATCTTGTCTTACAGGTGTGACAATTTATTTTGTCCACTGAACATTTTAGATGCCAGCTTTCCATTAAAGGGAATTTGGTTGCTGCCTTCTCTTTTAGATTAGCATAATGATAGTAGTAGATTGTATAATTTCTCAGTGGCAGAGAAAAAATCTTGTTCTTCTGTCTCATTATTGTTGGGCATACAGCTGTCCAGCTCAGGATTCCTGAGTGACCTCAGCTGGAATGCATTTTATTCAGCATATCTCACAAGTGATGTCACACATCTTTGAACTTTCTGTCTAATCTTTAACGTTCAAGGAATTTTCTGAATGCATTCACATCAAAGAGCTGCCTGATTAAAGCTGGTGGTAGCTGACAGTGTGAATTACCCGTATGGACGTGTTAAATAATGTTCACTATACTCCCACAAGTAGAAAATGAATGAACTGGAAAAGAGAAGGATTTCAAATGGAAAATTTCAGGTGACACACATGTGACAGGTTTGCTTTCTTTCTATTTTTTTTTAAAGTGAAAAGTAGATCATTTATCAAAATGAAATGATCAGATTCTAAAGCTTTGCGTATGTGTGTGATGTTAACGCTATTGGCCCTTTCCCTGAGAGGCTTGTCTGGAGGCTTTAACAGAAATGTGGGAAGTCACTTTCTGATGCATCAAGACTTAACAGGGAGTCTGAAACTTTGTTTATCTCTGAGAAGACGTTATAGAGTGGTTCCTTTCCTTACATCTTTCGGAGAAAGTCTTTGAAGTTCTCTGTCTAAGTTAAGTTCTCTTCCTCAAACTTAATTACTTTTTAACAGAAGTTTATCCTCTCTGTGTTGTCAGCGTTTAATGCTTTAAAATAAATACTGTGGCTCACTGAAACAATGAGAATTAGGCAAGTATTCAGTCAACTCGTCATTGGTAGTCCAACAAATAAATGGGAGACATTACAAAATGTAGAAAGAAGCCAAGATTTGTGTTCCAAAGACTTATTTTTCCCTTTGTGTTTTCATCTGATTGGCAAACTGCGCTCAGATCGTTTTGATAATTGTCTTGGTTTGGATTCATTAGTTTGAATAGTCACTAAGTTTCCATCAGCTTTTGTCCTGTTTTTTTAAGCAGACTGCAAAAATGAAATGGACTAATATGGAATAAAAAGGCATGTCACTGCCTCCCCTGGTTGTTTTCTTATGTTACATCATGTTGGACAGGAAGAGGAAAATGAAAGTTTCTGCTGGTGAAGCCTCCCTTTTTACAACAGTGTGTTTTTGTTGTTTTGTTTTTGTGCTGAACTTCTGATCAAGTCCATAAATCTCGGTCATTTCTTGAGGAACCCCTGAGCCGTAAACATATCTTCTACACTCCCGTCTTTCACACAGTAAACAATCGAACTGCAGGGAACTGCAGAACCCATAATTCTGTGTTTTTGTACCGGTGTCACACACCGTCCTGACCGCAGCTCCATCACTGACCTGTCAGTGTTAGGCTCATTTCACCTGAGCGGGGGGATTTTTTTATGTTTGTCGTGTTAGATGGGAGCCGTGTCTACTGTGGGGGTCACAACAGAATTTCAAACATAATACTGAAGGAAATGGTGGAACCCTAATACTGATTTCATACCATGGAGGGAAAAGGACAGATGAGGCAAAAGCTGTTTTTTAGTGACAGACAAAAAGACCCCTGAGGTATCATTTGAGTGAAAGGTGTGCAAAAATGTTTTTGGGTGGTTGGTCTTATAACGGATGCACTTATTTCCTCCAGCTCTCTTTTTGTCCACGTACATAATTTGCAGGCCTGGTCCCTCACGCCTCTGCTTAACTCGTCAGCGTAACTCAAGCTGGCAGAAACCGGGGGAGCCCTGCTTATTATTGTTCTTCCACTGAAGATGCTGAAGCGGGTATAAATAAACCCTCTCAATGGGACTAATTCAGATGTTTCGCTGCTTTTTCTTTTGTGCATTCGTTGCATGTAAAGCCACCCAAAAGTTGTTGCCCCGGGAGACTGCTGTTCGGGAGCATCCATGTGCATCCACACTTAGCTCCACCCGACATTAAGACTGACATTCCTTCATTTAGCTGGGTTTAGCTCCATGTCCTTTATCCACCCCCCTCCCCGCTGGTACACATATGGATACCTCACCTGTCAGCCCCACTTACGTTTTCGGACTTTCTGTGGCAAAAATGTTTCCCTTCCTCTTCCACACGTGTTTTTGGCCTTTCCGCTTGAACTGACCACAGTAGGGACGCATCCATCTGCCGTTTCTTAGATCAACAGTAAATACCTGTCGGTGTCTCAGAGACAGAGTTGTGTACTTACAGGCAGACAGAGCGCAAACAAGCAGACAATACAGAAAGCTTTATAACCACACACACACACACATACACACAATAAGGCCTTTGTGCTCTCTCTCCATGGGTACTGTAGGGGGGCGGTATGCCTTGTTGGTTATGCCAGCTAGCATGGGGCCTGCCCCGACCCCCCCCTCCCCAGAGCTGGCCAGGAGGTCTGTGTGTGCATTGTGAGAATTAGTATCTGTGTAAGACATGAGTCCACATTGTCCGGCCACAGTTTGGCACCTTCGGCCAGCTCTGCGTCCGTGCTCGTCTGTGGTGAAACGCAACATGTGTGTGTCGCAGAGGTCATCTAAATGGAACTGTCGGCCTCACAACGGTGTGTGTCTGTGTGAGAGAGCATGTGAGAAAGAGGTTTCCCAGAGTCCCGAGCAGAGTGCAGCGACTGGTACGGCCTCGTCAGGGGATCCCTGACTTCCATTCTGAAAGAGTGAGGCGGAGAAGTTCTTTCAGCCCAAATTAAAAAAGGAAAAAAAAAATTAGGACAATATTTTACAGAAGTACAACATTTTTTTTTTGCTTTTAAGGTATTTGCAGTTGCTTTTGATATTTGTAACAGCAGGTTTTTGTCTTTCAAAACTCGACTTTGCCTTCATTTCACTTGTTTTGATGCTGCTGTTTTTCTTCTCCCTTGTCTTTTTCATCACCTTTTTTTATTTTATTTTTGTTTCCCTCATCAGAAAAAAGCCAAAGGTGAGGAGCTGTTTGAGCAGATCATGTACCACCTAGACGTGGTGGAGAAGGACTACTTCGGCCTGCGTTTCATGGACTCGGCACAAGTTCCCGTAAGAGCTCCGGCAGACATGACACTGCTGACTCCTGTCAGTAAAACCCTATCCACAACCAGAACCGCTCATTTCCCAATCAAAACCAACAGTTCTAGTAATGGATTAACACATGTTAAGTATTTACTGCTGAGTTGGACTAGAGTTTCAGACATTTCATGGTCCCCTAATCCTGCGCCCATTTGCGGGAAGGCTTTCCTCTGGTACTTTCCCTTTTGGTGAAAAGGCTAAAAGGATTGGTTCAGGGAGGTTTGTCAGCACATGGTGTCATTCTGTTCTCAGACGCTAACCGTTTTAGGTCACTGGTCTGCCAGTGACCCGGGCTTACACGGGGATGGCCACTGAAGGACGGGTGGAGGCTGGTGGACGGAGGGATGAAATGCAGGAGAAGGGTGGAGCTCATATTGGAGCTAAGAGGAGAAAAGGAAGGAATGGGAGAGGGAGGGCTGTAATGAGGAATGTGTGGGAGAGGAGATGAGAAAGTGCAGGGAGCTCCTCTTATCTCCCTCCGTCTGTCTCTGCCTGTGCTTACACATGGACTCACACAAGCATGCGCCCTCTCCTCCATGCTGTTGGAGCCTCAACCAGCTTTTGCACACATTTAACCCTATAATGCTTCATGTACCATATTTTAAATATACGGTTTCTGAAATCTTTTGGATCTGAAACCTTTTACTTCATTTAATGATTAAGATGTTTCCTCAAAACCCTGTTATGCACAGATAAACCTGATAGCAGCAGGCAGAAGACCACAGCACAACAATTTTGATTTATCTCACAGTTTAAAGGGCCAAATAAAGAGTTACAAATACAAAAATACAATTTTCTCTATTTTTTCTTGGATCATACGCGGGTTGAGTATTTTTAGGTGCAGAATGAAGTTTTTTGTTTAATAAATGCTTAGCTTTTATAGATCCCCTCCAATGTGCAGTGGCAATTTTGCCACAAACCAACTCCAGCCAGTATCATCTTATTTTCAAAAGGTACCAAGTTAAATTAAAGGTGAAAATTTGCTTTATTATCTTTAAGGAAACAATTTCCTTCCAAGTTTTAGGATGTAAATCCACGTGCTAGTCACCTTACACCCCACAAGTAGGAATCAAAGCTTTAAACTTACTTCAGGATGATTGTAATATCTGAGATCACAGGGGAGTTCCCTAAGAGCTCAAATCTGTCAATGTGCATGTTGAATATACACAGGTCAGATGTTACAACAAGCTGTTGGATGAAATTCTGTACATTTTTAAAAAATGCTTTATTGATTTAACTTTTATCACCGTTATCTTTTCCAGCACTGGCTTGATGTCACAAAAAGTATCAAAAAACAAGTGAAAAGTAAGTATTAAACTGAACCTTCCCATGATGATTTCTTCTCTTGTTCCCAAACACCCAGAAGTACTAGACTCAAACATCCTGTGTAATAATCCTCTCTGTTAACAATAATGAAACTTTGAGCACAAATAATTTTTGTTGCACTTTAAGTGAATGACCTCAGAACAGAATGTTACTAAAAAAAATAAACAAATGTCCCCTAATATTCACCATTCCATTAAAAATGTAACAGATCTGTGGTGTTAATTAGTTGGAAAACATTCATGAGGAATTCCTTTCTGATAAAAGATGTGACGTAACATTAGCTGTATGCTGAAGAAAACCCCAGAGCAGGGCAGTTTGCTCCTACTTTTTACATAGTGAGCTGATTTTAGGATGTTTCTGAAGTACTGTTCATGTTCCTGAGACCTTGTTAAGAACGTTGTCTGTTGTGCTGTTTGCCCGGTCTATAGCTGATTACTCAGCAGCCGTCTGTGTTTGTCTTTTAGTTGGTCCACCGTACTGCCTTCACATGAAAGTCAAGTTCTACTCATCAGAACCAAACAACCTGCACGAAGAACTCACCAGGTCTTTTATTTCAATTTAATTTTTATATAATGGCATTGATCATATTAGATTTAGAAACTTTTGATTAATCATGACGAGGCTTGATTCAGATGTTGTTTTATTCTCCTTTTGCCTTATTGAACCATTTGTAGCCTCTTGTTCAGTTCTGCAAAATAAAGCTGTCTCTTATTGATGTGTAAATGTCACAGGGAAGAGTTTGCAGTCAGTTGGAGAGTTTAAAAAATAAATAAAAAAATCTGTGAATAGCAGGAGACCATATTTGTTGGTATAAGGGCCCAATGAGTTAAGCCCCTCTTTTAGTCAGAATTAAAAGTAATTGGCAGCAGATTTCTTGATTCATTTATTTATTTTTCCCACACAAATAACAAATAAGAAAGATATCTAAAAAAGAAAAAGATATCTCAGAAAGATGTCTAGAGAGGTCTGATGTAATGGTAGGAATTTAGAAATCTCAGTTTTTTAGTAGAGGCACTCACCTGTGAAGGGTTCATGTTTTTCTGCATCAGCAAACTGGTTTAGATTACCTCGTTTTTTCTCCTCCAACTAAATGGACAACAATCCTGCAGATTTAGATAAAACAATAAATGCCCCGTATGTTTTGAATATGCTTACAGGGCGTTTTTATTTATATAAGATGCATTAACAAATTCCTCACATAATTTTAAAAACCCTTTTTTATGTTTAAATTCCTTTCTTTTTGTTAAAATTAAGAACAGTAAGGTAAAAAAATGTGTTTAGCTGTAAATAAAAGTAGGTCATTACCCTTTAACTCACTTAACCAAGTGTTAAATATCTTTTCCCCTTTGTTTCATGCAGTAGTTTGATCTTGGTGGTTAGTTTCTATCACATCTCAAAGCATTTTACTAACTCTTTGGTCTTGTTTTTTCTTTCAGATACCTGTTTGTCTTACAACTTAAACAAGACATCCTCAGCAGCAAGTATGTCATTATGTTGCAAGTTTCTCTTTTTTTGTGAAGTACTGTCACTAAAGTAAAGTCAAATGATGAAAAGGATAGAAAGGAATTAGAGATCTGATACTTACAGGTGACATCACAATGAAAAGTGGCTTATGCAACTTAAAAAAGAAAGCTCATGCTACTCGACTGGAATGTTCCACAAAAGATATTGACTCTCTTTATCATACAACAGCCCTGCAGATTCCCAGCCTCTGAAACAAACTATCAAACTTTCATATCCAACTGTTCATAGTCCACAGTGCCCTTGTGTTTACTCAGCCCATTCTCTGGGGTGCCTGTTCCATGGTAACTTCTTCCGCATCTAAACAGAGCAGAAGAAAGACAAGCTGTCACAATGTGAAAAATACTAGACCCAAAGCCCTTCCGAAGCAAAGTGGTGTAGTTCCTCCATCAGTTGTTTTAGTATTGTTTTTCCCCTTTGGATCACAAATCTATCAGTTGTGTTGATGATCGTGATTACATTGATTTGTTGGCAAATGAAATGTTTTCCAAACGTGTGGTTGTTGTAATAGTTTGGTCATTTATTTAACAGGAAGTCATTTTTCAGGTTGGAATGTCCATTTGACACAGCAGTGGAATTGGCTGCCTTCTCGCTACAAGGTAGGTACCGCAGATGCATCTTCAGGTTGTCTTCCTGATCTGATGTTATTTGTCTGTGTGGTATCCCAATAGTTGAGCATCAATCAACCTGTCCATTTGATTAATTATTTTTTAATGGTCAATAATGCAACCTTTACATGAAAGTGTCATGTTATCGGGTTTAGAGTGCTTTCACAGGAACAAACTTTGAGCCACCAGAGACACTTGTTGAGTGGGAAGCCATGCAAAAACTCCTGAGTGCGCGCGCACACACACACACACACACACACACACACACACACACACACACACAC